GTCCTTGGGTGTCAGTCTCATATTATGGTATTTTATGTTGGAAGTGGAGAATTTTTAGGGGCCAGAAGAGGACCTTTCAGCAAGTAGGAGAACCATGTAGAATCCTCAGGAACGTCAATTTGAGAGAAACTTGGGAGATCTTACTGTATTTACTCGCAGCATCCTCTTTCTGTGTCCTGCAGACAGAAAGGCAAGCACTGACGAACAGCAGTGCCACCGGGGAACAAGTATTTGCTGACCCAGGTGTAGCCAAGGAAGACAGACCAAGAAGAGTCCAGGTAGAGTGGGACTGTCTTCTTTTGAGAGATTAGCAAACTATAAGGAGTCAGAAGTCACAGCATGCCATGAGCTCTGAAAGTTCTCCTTTATTCAAGGCCCTTTTAAGACTTTCTGATGGTTCTTTTAACTTAAAAACACAAATGAAAAATGATATCACCATATTCTTTAGTATTGTTTCAGATTTTGGGAGGGAGGTTCACTTAAAAGGAAGTTTTCATTTGTTTGTTTCTGCCATACCTGGCCATACTCAGGAGCTACTCATGGCTCTGCACTCAGGAGTCATTCCTGGTGGCACTCAGGGGACCATATGTGATGCTGGGGATTGAGCCTGGATTGGCTGCATGCAGGACAAGTGCCTTACCCTCTATACTTCCTTCTTGCGAAACCAGCACCGCAAAGAGGAAGTTTTTGGTAATCTGGTGGTACTTAGGTTATACTCCTGGTTCTGTGCTCAGAGATCACTCCTGATGGTACTCAGGAGACAACATGTGGTGCCAAGGATCAAACCAGGGTGGGTCACATGTAAGATGAGTGCTTCACCTCCTGTACTAGCTCCCAAGCCCTCAGATATTTTTTTGAACCACACCTAGTGGTGCTTAGGGTTTACTGATGGCTCTGTGCTCCAGGATCACTCCTGATGGGATTGGGAGATCAAATGAAGTGCCAAGCATCAAACTCTGGTTGGCCAAGTGTCAGGCAAGTGCCCTACCTCTGTGCTACTGCTCTGCCACCAGACATCTGCACTTGTTTGTTCATTGCAGCACTCTTTACAATAGCCAGAAACTGGAAGAAACCTGAATGCCCAAGAACAGATGACTGGTTAAAGAAACTTTGGTACATCTACACAATGGAGTACTATGTAGCTGTTAGAAAAGATGAAGTCATGAAATTTACATACAAGTGGTACAATATGGAAAGTATCATGCTAAGCGAAATGAGTCAGAAAGAGAGGGATAGACATAGAAAGATTGCATTCATCTGGGGGATATAAAGTAACAAAATATGAGATTAATACCCAAGAATAGCTGAGATCAGCACCAGGAGGATTACTCCATAACTTAGAGGCCAGCCGGGTATTCTAGGGGAAAGGGCAGTTCAGATAGAGAAGGGAGCACCAAATAAAGGGTGTTTGGAGGATCCTCCCAGGAGGGGAGATGCATGTCGAAAGTAGACTATGGACTGAACATGTTTGCCACTCAATGCCTCTTTTGCAGACCACAACACCCAAAAGGAGAGAGAGAACATAGGGGATTGCCCTGCCACAGAGGCAGGGGGGATGGGGGATGGGGGTGGGGGGGATATTATCCATGGTGGTGGAAAATGGGCACTGGTGGAGGGATGGGTATCTGATCATTGTATAATCGAAACCCAAGCACAAAAAATGGTAAATCTACAACTGTACCTCATGGTGTTTCACTAATTAAAAAAAAATATTCAGACACCATGCCAAAAAAAACAAGGAGTTATCACCAATGGTCCTCAGGAATCATCAAGGCCTCTCATGGAGATGCTTTCACTCTGAATTTAAGCAAACACCATGCCCTTGATCTTTCTTTCTTTCTTTCTTTCTTTCTTTCTTTCTTTCTTTCTTTCTTTCTTTCTTTCCCTCTTTCTTTCTTTCTTTCTTTCTTTCTTTCTTTCTTTCTTTCTTTCTTTCTTTCTTTTTTAAGAAAAGTTTTTAGGTCACACCCAGCAATGTGCAGGTGTTAGTCCTAGCTCTACACTCAGGAATTAATCCTGGCAACACTCGGGGTGAACACAGGGCATGATGGGGATTGAACCCAAGTCAGTCATATGCAAGGCAAATGCCCTACCCATTGCAGTATCACTCCGGCCCCTCTCCTGCTGCTTCTTGAGAACTGTCTCAGAAGTGATAACAGCAAATAAAGACTCTTTTTGACTGTACCAGGCATTATGTGATAGACTCTACATAACAGTAATTAAGTCTCGCCATTGCCCTGTGAGGCTACACACATTCTAGTCTTGTCTTAGATTTTCATCCGAATAAGCTGACATCCACAAAGTGTAAGTGGAGAAGTCAGAATTCAAACCCAGAAAGAACACAAAACTACTAGACAAAGTTGCTTTTGAGGCACCGCTCTAAAATCAAAACCCAAACCCAATTTGAGACAGAGTCACGAAGCAGAGCGGAGACTGGTTAATTGTACAGACTCTCAGCCACACACTTGGGCTTGATCTGTAATTCTGACCACCTAGCGGCTTTTCCATGGGCAAGCCCAGTCAATATTGTCAGCTTTAGTTTCCTTATCTGTACAATGTGTAACATAAGCACTATCTCAGAGGGCTGTTCAGAGAATGAAATAAAAGTATCTGATGAGGGAAAGATCAGGATACCCCTGCTTTCTCCTCTCTAGCTCTCTAAATCTAAAATAGACTGGGATCACCAGAGAGGGGTGAAGGAACAGAGAGAAAGGTGGAGAGAGGTGGATGGAGACAGATTTCTTTAGCAAGATGACTGTGAAGGATAGATTTTCCACTCCTCAGTCTCACTGAGGATTGATTATAAAGGAAATCCCACTTCACAATCAGTATGTGGTAAGGGGAACACTTTCTTTCACTGTGGAATGAACTTCTGGGATGTCCAGTGTCTATCCTGGTGTGCTATCAAACGGTTTCATGTCTTGATCCTTCTACTCTTGTGTCAATGATATGTCTGAAAGGGAACAAAACCCAGTATCTTTCTAGATATCAATGAAAGTCCTCGGGTTTATCTAAAGTGACACGATGTAACTGGCATTGTTTTGCTCTTGGGCAGAACACCAAAGGAAATACTCTACTTTGAAAGGATTCTGAGGACATATGTGAGAGAATTTGCTGGTTAATGCAAATACATGTCCAAACAAGTATTGATTTGCTTTTAGGGAGTACACAGAGCTGGCAAGCCTCACTTGGCATGAAGAGCACTGAATAATGAATGCTTAATTTTAATGAGGGAACTTGGGGGTCTATTGTGAAGAGTATGTTGTAGTTCCCATGTGTTTTCTTGCACATGGAACAACTGTACCCACAGTGGAAAAAAGCAGATGATTCCTGAAATCTTTGGGAGGTCTGTAAGATTCAGATAAATTAATGGCATGTAAATAAATGTACATATATATAGCAGGAGTTCCCTGCTCCCCATCTCAACACTTTCCTATCAGTAAACAAATATGGGTACAAAGTAACGAATATGTACTTTTTTAGGAACTGGTAGAAGGGACGGACATTTGCTTTTTAAACTAAAGCTATATACGCAGTTCCATATAAGTTATAAATACTTTAAGTGTTCCTGGAATAAATGAGCAGTTTCCATACTTGACTTTTTTGAGATACAAGCGTTATTTAGAAATCAAGTTCCTATGAACAAAGCACACAGATTCATTTAAAAGACTTAATTTCAGTTATAGTTCACGCGAGCCCTGATCATTTTAATCATTTATATGAAATCAATCTTAATACTTAACATTTGAAGTGGGGAAAAAACCCAGGAAGTGACAAGGAAAACAAATGCGCCCCTGTCCTTGCTAACAGTCTTTAACTAGTGGGCAAAAAGACAGATGCAACGGACATAATTGCATGTTCTGGTCAATAGCCTGGATGTCCCCTAGATCCAGCCATACAATGTGACTTCCTAGAAGCCAAAACAAAACAAAAGCAAAATCCTTTTCTGAACAAGAGCACTATGAAATATGTAAGCCAAGTATGTGAAGTACTATGCTGATCTTTATTTCATATTTCTAGAGCAGCTAGGGCAAACTGGCTCTCTTAAAGTGCTCTGGGATTTTGGTGGGATTAAGTAGAGTTTCAGGGTGTTTTGAAGAACATTATCCAATCCTTTGAATTTAAAGGAAGGAGTGGTCACCCAGAACTCAGGGAGAAAGTCCTATGAGGCATACGTGCTTGCTGATCTGCTGAACGGAGGATTCTTTGCTTTCTGTGCTAATACATCAAGGAGGACTTAGAGCTGTGAAGAAAAAAACGACAAAAAGAAATTTTCTATCATATGGCAGAGGATCCTGAAAAAATTCGCAAAAACCTGTGAGCAACTGAAATCAACATGAAGTAAACTTATCAGGCAAAAATTCTTTTAGCTGATAAATCTGTCACTTCACACTTGGAACTGGTTCACGCCCAAGAGACTGAATGAAGATTTCTCATAATGCGTTTACACCAACTTTAAAAAACAAGAGCATTAAAGACATTCCATATGTAATATAAGATTTACATGTATATATAAGAGTTAATAGTGGAATTGAGGTGAAACTGACTTGTGAAAATGTGCATTTTCATTTGCTTTCTATGAAGTTAAAGACATTCATCTAAGGGGCCTTTTTTTCCCCACTCTTCACTTATGTTAGCTGCAATCCTCCAGCTCCTCAACAAAAGCAACAACAACAACAAAAATATCACAAGCCAAAAAGCCCTGAAGCCTGAAACTGGTGTCCAAGAAAAACATTTAGTTTGAAAAAGAGTTGAAAAATGTTGCCTTGGAAGAACCACTGCTTACATGGGATTGTTCAACAAATTCCTGTTGTGTGAGGTTTGGCATATACTTTCTAAAAATATAAGCATCTGGGGAAATGAGACAAAGCCCAGGTCTTGGACCAAATGAGGCACGCAGTGTGAATCTGTTAGTGATTATATCCATAATGAAATATGTGCCCAAATTTAGCAGTGCAAAATCTAATACAGTATGAAAGGCCAGCAGGCACCATCCTTACCATAATATATAGCCCACAGAGAAGGTAGATATGGCAGCAAGCCCACTGCTCCTGCTGGGATATGCATGGTGAGATGTCCTCATTTCGATTAATATAAAGGGCAACACCGTTGTGTGCTGGAAAAGAACACAGACCAGGTGACACAGATTCTTATCATCATCCCTTGATAGTTGTCTTTTTTCCCCCCCAATAGAAGAACAGATAAATTCCAGGAAAAGTGCTACAGCATAAACCAATGCATGGCTTGTCAAAGAGACAGCATGGATTAAAACAAAAATCTGTGCTACATTCATTGCTCCATTGCTATTTTTTATCTTAATTTATAAGATGAACAAAATCTTGTAACTATGCATTTTTAAAAATCTTTGTCTCTTTCCTCTATTTAAACACCATGGTTTACAAAGTTGTTCATAACAGTTTTAAGGGCTTTGGATATTTCAACACCAATCTTACCACCTGGGTGTCCTTCCTTTCACCATTGTCCGCATTTATCCCCTCTTCCCCCCAAACACCCTGCCCTCTTAACAACACACAGTTATTTTTTTTTGTATTACCTGTTACAACAAAATGGCTAGAGGAAATATCAAAAAATACTTCAGTAAAAGATTTGTGAAAACTGATATATCTCACCATGGCGATATTAAGTCTTTGCTTGAGAATTTACTAAGCTGTTCATCACTAGTTGAGCCTTCCGTGTTATTATTTTTGTTTGTTGAGTTTAGTTGGATTCTATGTTACTTTCCCATCTAATTTGGGGATTACAATCACTACTGAAATAGCAGTACTGTGGAATTTGAAGGTGTTGGGCAACCATGTATGCAGTCCTAGAACTGGGCAATTTGATAATAGCAAAGTTGCACCGAAAATAACTGGAACATAGAAACTAATAAAATTAAAGACCATTAACTTATTTGCATATATGATGTCCCTTACTTGTTCCTATTATTTCTACATAGTTAAGATAATACTGCACATGAAGTTTGGTTTTGGGTTATAGCTTGCTAGTTTTTCCACATGTTGGTTTAGAAATACTTTTAGAATATAGAATATCAACCCTGACCATAGTTACTTAAGCCTCCATTTTACAAATGTACTAACATTTATTTATCCAGTTCTTGTTCTTGGATGACCAGCCATGGTCACGTAATGAGATTTAAAGATGACCGCTGAACTAGAGCTGTTACCGACTGGATTCCATGGGATGTCAAAAGACTGCGTGGCCGCCCACCTACCAGATGGTCAGACTTCTTCGTCAAGATCATGAACGATCGGTTTGAGGCCCTTCATGTTTTCGGAGCGAAAAGATGCCATTGGGCTACACTAGCACGCGACAGGGACAGATGGAGACGTTACTGGCGCCCGCTCGAGCAAATCGACGACTAACGGGAAGTTAAGTGATTAAGTGATTAAGTGTTCTTGGATTTAAGATAAGGCACTTTTTAATTTTTCATTTATTATAAAAGCATGATGAGATCCCTCACTGAAGTCTGAATGTCTACATCACTTTATTTTCTTGTAGCAAAATATCGTTACCATGTAATGCTAAATTATGTGCGGAGCAGCAGAATTGTTTAGAAATAACATCAAGCTATTGTCTCTAGGTCTTGCCAGTTTGCACTAACAGTGATGGTTTTGGATTTGATGCTTGAAGGTGGGCTCCAAAGAATCTCACTCCTAATTGTTTTATGGATCCGAAGGTCTCTTGAGGTACTCATAAACGTGAGTATCATCCAGAATGATGATGAAATTCATCTCATCCCACGGTAAAAATAAAGGAATATTGAGTACCCTGAATATTGAAGTTGGATAAACAACTCATAAGGAATGACCAGCTTCTTAGGTAAAACTGAGTCTCAATTTACTTTCCTGGCAGAAATGAAAACTGAACAGTAAGTTTGAATTCTAATTAGTACTCCTTAATGGACACAAACATATCTTTGTCCTGGGCTTGCTTTATGATTTGTATATTCAAGGAACAGGAAAAAAATCAGAATCCCATGATTTTCAAACTCTAGTATACTGCAATATGATGTAACCAGGTGGCAGGTAGGCCTCTGTAGAAAAAAGGCATGGTAAGGATATTGAGGTCAACATTTTTGGAGCAAATTGTTCTATTATACAAAAATAAAAAATAGAATTTTCCAAGACATATTGTGCCAGTGGAAATTCTTTGCCTTCAACATTCTTCTCTGGATAACTATTTTGGCTACCAATACATTAGAAACCACAGTATGGTATTCCCAGAAGGTCAAGTGGGTGATTCCAGTTGGGCTATGTTTCTTTCTCCCCTCGCTCCTCTAAGAGTTTTAAAAAACAGTATAATTATCTTGGAAAAGAATAACACAGAATGTGTATGTGTGTTAATATAAAGATGGTATGTACTAAGAGATCTATTGTAGTTTTTTTTTTTTTTCACTATAATCCAGTCACTTAGATGACTCAGGCCTGGAATTGCACCAACAATTTCAATGCCAATAATAGTAGTTTTACAAAAATAAGGCCAAGAAGAATTCCCTGTAAACCAAACTTTTACACTAAGATAATGCTCACTCTGATGGGCTCTTTAGATTAGTTATGCCGTATTTCACTGTATAACCATTGCACTCTGCTGTTTTAGAACAAAAATGGTTTCATGATTTTTGCAAAAAGCTTTCACATAATGGTAGCATCGCTCTTTTTCTTTTATTATTATTATTATTGTCATTATTATTACAAAAACACTTGGCACAAAGGTCTGTGATAGTTATATAGTGAAATACCGTAAAAGAGCACAATATTCTTTTTGACTTAATATTAAAAAGTGTCTAAACTCTGACCTCTTCATCCATTGATTCTTACTAAGCACCAAACCATTCATTTCTCTATAATGTTATGGAAGTTAAAATTAGTAATCTGAAAAGTCTAAGTTATTGATATATTATTTTATCTAACTTACTTTCAGTTATCAGAGCTGAAATTTACAGAATGTTCTTGATGGTAGCAGGCAGAAAAATCTCTTCAGAAACAGAAGCTCTTGATTGATCATCTAATCACTGGCATTCCCACCACTAAAAATGAGCTACTTGTCATATCAGTGATATAACCAGGGCAAAAAAAAATCTTTTTGAGGAAACCTATAACTTTGCAAGTTTAGTTAGTGGCAGAATTTTCAGGTACTAAAGGATGTATATCTTCCTCTATAAAATACTTATCATACAAGTTACGCTTATTGAAAACTCTGTTAACAAATTACGGTCACGGTCCTCCCGTTGTTCATCGATTTGCTCGAGCAGGCGCAGTAACGTCTCCATTGTGAGACTTGTTGTTACTGTGTTTGGCATATCTCGCAGGGGCGAGATAGCTTGCTGGGCTCTCCGAGAGGGGCGGAGGAATTGAACCTGGCTCTGCGAGCCGGCTGCATGCAAGGCAAATGCCCTACTGCTGTGCTATCGCTCATGCAAAATATTTGTGGCAAATATATATGTTGTCCTGTAGGTGGCCGAAGTTAAATAAACTAAAGAATATTGATAAAAATCTATAAATGGTCTTCCTGAATTTCTCAGTAATTATTAGTTACTCATTTGTAATTCAAAATCTGTAACAGCAAGAAGGTAATTATTTTAAACTACATTACTAAGAAATCCAGTTCTACTTCACTCCCAGGAGACACTCTGTTTTAAGAACCAGGAAGGAAACATTCAGCTCCATTCAAGGTCTGTCACTACACAAGAAGAGTCATCTGTTTAGTTCACTGTGGTATTTGAGGCCTTAAGACAAGAGCTATGTACAAAGGAGGTGGCCAATAAATACTTATGTAACCTTCAAAACTGTGTCTTAAGGGGAGATTATTAAACCATTATACAGATGAGGTAACACAAACTCAAAAAAAGGTGATTATCTTGTCCCAGATCACAGTTTTCAAGTGTCCAAGTGGGACTCAAGACCAATTTTATCTCCTAAACCTCTAAACCATTTTCTATGTTAGAATCATATCTTTATGAGATACCATGGGAGGTGGTGAAGGAGAGGCTTTAAGGTGAAGGGAAGACACTGGGACAATGGTGGAGGCAGTGGACACTCAGAGGAGAGTGTGGTCAGGGATTGTGTGATGCATAAACCCTATCATTAACAGTATTATAAACCATGGTGCCTAAAATAACATAAGAAATAAATTAAAAATATCAGAGCTATGTCAACTTTAATTCACTAAATCTGAGCAAATGTGTGATTAAAGATTACTCAAGTGGAGCTCATGCCCAGTTCAATCAACTTAGTCAATGGCTGAATAAATAGCAGTACTCCTACATTTAAAAAAAAAATTACTCAAGATGTCAACAGGACAGAGCCATGTTTTGGTTTAGCTTCAAAATAAACAAAAAGGTCAGGTCATCCCAGTAAAAGAAAACAAACAAAAAACCCCCCTTGCTAATTGAGTTTCTTTTTCTTGTGGTAAATAAGTACTCTGATAGTAATAGTAATAATAGGGAATAATGTCAGTGAGCCTAAAACAGACCCTTTCTAGGATACAGAGGCAGCTGCAAACAGTTCCTGTGGTTTGGAGGAGACCGAAGTGTCACTTACTCAGTGAGCCCATATTTTAACTCATTCTCCTCCCCCAGCTATCTCTGATGTGTAGCTAATGTGTAACTCCAACAAGATCCAAGTCAAGTGGGGAAGGCAATGCTGTTTGCCATGGTTTGATTGCTTTCCAGAAAAGATTGGTGCTGACATCTCCCAAGGTAATGGATGACTGATGGGTCTGCAGGATACAGTGAAACTGACCATTCAAAACACGCAGGCCCAGAGTGAAGGGTAGAGTGTACCTCTTCCTGATCATCAAACCATTCAAAAAGGGACTGGATGTGTTCGATCATTGTATAAGTGAAACCCAAGCACAAAAATTTGTAAGTCTATAACTGCACCTCATGGTGTTTCACTAATAAAAATTTTTTTAAAAAAGAAGGGAATGGAGTGATAGTACGGCAGGTAAGGTACTTGCCTTGCATACGGCTGACCTGGTTTGATCTCCAACAACTCATATGGTACCCCAAGCCCACTGGGCATGATTTCTGAGTGCAGAGTCAGAAGTAACCCCTGAGCACTGACAGGTGTGGCCCCCAAATAAACAAACAAAAAC